AAAATATAAAAAAAAATTACATATATATAAATAAAGTCTATTTATTAAATTTATTTCCACTACTACTTTTAATGTATTTGTGTTTTTGCTATAAAATTTACAATGTACAGTGTTGATAGTGAGAATGTGATATTATTTCTTTAGAGTTTAATTATTGATGTTAGAAATATATAGAAAATAATAATAAAAGAAATTTTTTTTTTTTTTTTTTATCTAATTGTTTATTATTTTTATTATTATTATTATTTTTATTTTTGGTGCAAAAGCTTATTTAAATATAAATTTATGTGTGGTGTTTGTGTTGTGTTTTTTTATGTAATGTGTGAGTTGGGTATTTAAAATAAAAAATAATTTAAATTGTGTATATATTAAGATATTTTATATATTTATTATTTTTTAAATAAAAAGGAAAAAGAAAATAGAAAGATTTTTGATATATAAGAAAAGTTATTTAGATAATTGATGATAAAAATAGAGAGTGTGTTATTATTGATTTGTATATAAATGTATATATGAGGGTGTGTTGATATATTTTAAATTCGTATCTATATCAACATTTATTACAATTAATTTATGATTACAATATTATTAGTTTATACAGTATCAAATATTACACCACATCTATGTATTTATAACAGTATATATAATTTTATTAAGATAATATTAAATGTGTATTTATAAATAGTTTATTGATCAATCATAGTATTATTTTAATTATTTTTGATTTATATAAACAATAATTATTAACAATAGAGGTGGTGATAGTAGCAGTCTTAATAAGGACTTTTTATTTAGCCTTTTTATTTGTTTATAATATTTAAATACATACATATATACAGGGTTTTAAATTATTTATACTTTAATATTTAAAAATTAATTATTATGTGGTGTGTTGTTTTATTTGTGATTTGATTATTTTTGGTTTGTGTTATTTTGTGTGGTGAGTTATTTTTTATTTTTTTTCTTTATTATTTTTTTTATTTTTTTTTTTTTTGCTCAAATTATAAAAAATAAAAAATAAATGAATAAATAAAAAATAGGTAAATAAATAAATGAATAAATGAATAAATAAATAAATAAATAAATAAATAAATAAATAAATATGATCTGAAATAAAAGAAAAAAAAAATTTTATTTTAAATTTTGATAATTTTTTTTTTTTTTTTCATAATTTTTTTTTTTGTATTGTTTATTATAAAATTTTCCTTTTTTTTCCTTTTTTTTTTTTTTTTTTTTTTTTTTTTTTTGGAATTTAATTTTTTAAATTTAATATATCCCCCAATTTTTTAAAGCTTGGTTTTTTTTTGGGCAAGGGGGTAATTTAAAACCCCCCCCCGGGAAGGGTTCTTTGATTATTTTAAAAAAAAATTTTGGGTTTGGGGGGCCCCCAATTTTTTTTTTTTGGGTTTAATTTAAAAAATAAAAGTCCGTTTTGGAAAAAAAAGGGTAGGGTAAAAAAAAAAATTAAAGGGGGAAGGCTTGGAAATAAAAATTTTTTTAAAAAAATGTTTTTTTTTTGTTTAGTAATATTAAGAAAAAACCCCCCCATTAAATTTTCCAAAAATAAAACAAGGAGTAAGAATTTTATACCTTTTTTAAAAAATATTGTTTTATCTTTTTTATTTAAATATAAATATAGGTCAGTATCTCAAATATTTTTTATTTTTTATTTTTTATTTTTTTTTTTTAAAAATTTTTTTCATGCATGTAATAACACTAAATTAATTATTTTTAAATTTATTTTATTTTAATTACAACTTTCTTTTTTACCATTATTTTTATTATTTTAAAATTATTAATATTTTACTTTTTTTTTTTTTCTTTTTTTTTTTTCTAGGCAATTATTAAAAATAATATTATACGGTAATATTATTCATTCATTTATTTATTTATTTATTTATTATTTATTTATTAATTGGCCATAGAAAGCCAATTAATAACGGCCACACAAATATTTGTCATAATCATTTATAACGAATTTTCAGTACGAATAAATTAGAAAACAAAAAAGAGAGATGAATATAAACACAACTAGATATTACGAATTATTAGAGGTTCCAGTTGATGCATCACAAGAGGATATTAAAAGAGCGTACCGTGTTTTAGCGTTAAAATATCATCCAGGTACGAGGATCCAGAAATATATTTAATAACTATAGCAAACAAAATTAATTAATAAATTTTTTAAATTAAACAGATAAAAATCCAGACCCAAGTGCTGCAGAACAATTTAAGGAAATTTCAGAGGCATACGGAGTATTATCAGACCCAGAAAGAAGAAAGTTATATGATCAATATGGTGCAGAGGGTTTGAAACTATTTGAGGGTGGAGGTTTTGGAGAAGAAGCAGCATATGTAGCATCAATGATGGGATCAATAAAATATATTGGTTGTTTATTTTGTATTTTGTTATTGGTCTTAATATTATTCCCAATATTTATAGTGGTCAAAACAAAAAGTGGTGGCGTTAGTTGGAGTTGGGCAAAGGTATTTTCACCAATGTGGATTTTGGTTGGTATTTCAACTCTTCTCTTTGGAATTATTGCAATTAGAATCAAGAAGCTAGGAACTACAGTAATCTTTATTCAACATATTTGTGTCCTTTTATTTATGGCATTCTTAACAGCTAATTTGGATGGCAGAACACACTTAATGTGGGCAAAGGTTTTCATTCCAATTTATATTTTAATTGCAGCTAATATGGGAAAGAAATACGAAGTATTCAAAAAGGATGCTTATGAAAAACGTTTCACTGATCCAGAGTACCTCCGTCCAGTTACTAATTTTGGTTTGGGTCGTTTAGGTTTTTGGATTCGTTCATTCTATACCGATTTACATGCTTGCTGGTTCTTCGTTTTCTTAATATTAAAGATTGACCGTGCCGTAGGTTGGACATGGTACATTAATTCGATTCCATTGTTTGTTTATATCGGCACATATTTTATAATCATGTTTTTAGATAACTCTGCTAAAAGTAAAAACTTAGATCAAATCGATGAGGAAGATGAGGGTGGCCATAAGTTTTTTGTATCAATATTCTGTTGTATAATGATACCGGTTATCATTTTCATTGGTTTATTGGCTGCTCATCTAACTTCAGACAAGTTTTTAATTGCTAAAATCTTTGCACCAATATTTATTTTATTAGGGTAAATTTATTTATATTCATTATTATTATAAAGTTAAAGTTTATTAACATTAATTTTTTTTTATTATATAGCTTATTTTTCTGTGGTTTCTGCTTAATTTTCTGTTTAATGTCCTTCTTTGGCGATAAAGGTTACGATGAATTTGCTAAAAACATGGGAATGGATGAATCTAATTTCTTTAACGTTGTAAATCAAAAATTACAAAGACCACAAAGATTTTTAGAAGGTACTGCAATTTCAGTTGAGCAGTCTTCTTCATCGGGCGAACAAAATGTTTAAAAAATAAATAAAAAGATAAATAGAAATTAACAATTAATTTCTTTAAAAAAAAAAAAGAAGAAAAAACTAAAATATTTTATAAATTTTTATTAAAACTAATTATATTTTTTATTGATAAATTTAAACTTTAATTGGAATATGTTTTTTTTTAAAATTAAAATGGATATGATGATTTTCGTGATTGACTATTTCATTTACAATGGGTGATAGTTTAATTAAAACTGTGCCATGTGATGGGACCATAGCTGTGAATGAATTATAAAATGTTCCGTTACTAGTATGAGTCCAAAGATCCATAATGTTATAGTTTTGATTATTTGTAATGTTTAAAATATCGTTGGTTATTGTGATGTTTGAACTTGTTGGACCACGGTTAAATAAAGCAACGGCTATGCTATTGTTTACTAATGGTCTTTTCCATATTTCTAAATTACCATTTTTATTAACACGAGAGCCTTGAATACCTAAAGGGTCTTGATTAACAGCGATTACATCAGTATTAATTAAAATATCTAATGTTTCTTGGTCCATTGTACGTAGATCATTACCAGCAACTAGCGGTGCTGCAAGAATGGCCCATAAAGAAAACATGCTTTTATATTCGGTGTTTGTTTGATTACCATTTCCAATTTCCAACATATCTGGATCATTCCAATGGCCTGGGCCAGCAAATCCTGAACGATCTGGTTTCATTATTTCCATTTCATCAATAATTTTAACCCATTCATCAAAGTTATCAGTAATATCTTGAAATTCTCTCCATAGATTACAAATACCTTCAATGTAATTGAATGGCATTGAAATATTTTGAACATAGGCATATGTTGGCCAACTGCAACTATAAACCATTGGTCTATTTGTACTCTTTAAATATTGACCAAGTTGGGTATAGGCTTCTTGCATTTTATCTTCTGGGTAATTACAACCATCCATTTTAACATAATCGACACCCCATTCAGCAAATGTTTTTGCATCTAGTTCTAAATATCCTGCTGATCCTGGATACCCCATACATGTTTCTGTTCCAATATCCTATTTTAAATTTAAATAATTTTTTAATTAATTATTTATTTTTTTAATTTATAATTTTACTATTTTATTGTTTTTTTATACATACTCCATAAATTCCAAATTTTAATCCCAAAGAATGAATATAAGTTGCTAAGAAACCAATTCCTCTTGGGAAACGTACTGGATCAGCAATTAGTTGACCTGTTACATTATCTCTTGTTTTTGCAAACCAACAATCATCTAAATTAATATATTGATACCCAGCATTGGCCATACCATTTGAGGCCATTGCATATGCCATTTCCATAAACATTGTTTCATTAATTAAAGATGTTTCACACCCAAATTTATTCCATGGGTTCCAAGCCATTATTGGTGTTAATGCTAATCCATTATCTAATGAAAAAGAGAAACAAAAAAAATTAATTATTAATATTAAACTTAATAATAATTTCATTTTTATTTTTATTTTTTATTTTTATGATCTATTTATATTTTTGTATTTATTATTGTTATCTATAATCTATTATTTAATTTATCTTTTAGTTATTAAAATGAGATTTTTTTTTTAAATTAAAAAAAAAAAATAAAAAAAAAATAAATTAAAAATATTTTTTTTTTTAAACCTCCCCATTTATATCCAATAAAATCATTTTTTAAAAATAAACAATTAACTGTTCATTAAATACCCCCAACCAAAATTTTTATTTTCTACCATTGTCAGTTAAAAAAAGTTTATTCTATATTTAGTTTTCATCATAAGATATATTTTTTAAAAAAATAAAAAATTTTAACCCCTACCCACTCAAACACAAATTTAAAAAGTATTTTAAAATTATTTTTATTTAAATTTACAAATTTGGAGGATTATTTATATTAAATATATTAAAAATTTATTTTAATAAAATCTAATTATGAAAATAAATAATAATATTATTATATAGGTAGCCATATAATATTTTTGAAGTTATTGATTATACAGATTGAGTTGTTGTTTGAAATGGTTTGGTTTTTTTTGAATTATTGTCTTGAAACTCTATTTTTCTTTTAATTTGGAGTGGTGGTTTATTGTTTGAAGAAGAAGAGGCAGTGGATGCAGTTGTAGTTGTAGTAGTGGTGGTTGATTTATTTTTTGGTAATAACAAAGAGGATTTTTGATCAATTGCTTTGTTTGGTGATGAAATGATATTTGTATTTACCTCTTCTAATGGTTTTTTAACGATTGGTGGGTTTGACAAAGCTGTTAATTTGGTTTCTAAAGTTTTAATTTTCTTTTCATCCAATTTATTCTTTTTAATTAATTGTTCATAGTTATCAAAAAGATTTGATAACTCGTCGTCTTTATCTTTAAGATTTTGTTGTAATTCGAGGACCATTTGATGTTCAGCTTTGAATTTTTCAGAGAGCTCTTTATTGTTTTCTTCGGCTGTTAAATTGGATAATTGTTCTTTAAGTTGGGATTGGGCCAATTTCTCTTGTTCAAGTTCTTTTTCGATAACTGAAAATTCTTGACTCTTTTCTTTAATTTTATCTAAAAGTGAATTGTTTTCTAATTGTTTAGATTCTAATTGTGATTTTAATTGGTAGGTGGATTCGGTATGATTTTGTTTTTCCATTTCGATTTGATTTGATAATAAATCTTTTTCACGATTAAATTTCTCTAATTGTTCAAATTGTGCTTGTTCGAGTTGTTTAATACGTTCTTCTAATTGATTGATAAATACAGAGTTATCATTGGTCTCTTTCTTTAAATGATGGTTTGATTCTTGTTCAAATTTAATTTTATCTTCTAATTCATCAATCTTATTAATGAGACTTGATTCTTTTTCTAATTGTTCATTGTAGTTCTTGTTGGTTACTGTTAATTGTTGGGTTGTTTCTTTTAAGTTTATTTCGATCTCTTCAATTTGTTTAGATTTGCTTAAAAATGTTTGTCTTTCTGTTTCGAACATTTCATTTGATTCAATTAGCATTTTATCTAGTGTGTCGGCTTTGTCAATTTGGTTTGAGAGCTCTAATTGAAGTGAGGAATTCTTTTGGTTTAGTTCTTTAATAGTTTCTTGCAATGATTCAATTGATTTTTCTAATGATCTCTTGATAGAACCATCATATTCTGTATCCATTTTCAATTTTGAAAGCTCTTCTTTACTATCAGAAAGTTGTTTGCTGATGGATTCGAGATCTCTCTGGGCTTCAAGCTTATCATTTATTAATTGGTTCATGTCACTGTTGCTACTGGTTATTTGAGATTCAAATGATTTTAATTTGTACTCTAAATCTTGGATTGTGCCTTTTAATGAGGAGATGGTGCTTTCTAAAAGAGTAGCTTTGTCATTTGAAATTTGTATTAATGTTCTGTTTTCTTCGATAGCATTTGAAAGCTCGTGAATTTGTTGTTGTTTAATATTATTATCATCATTCAATGAGCTGATTTGGTGGTCTTTCATTGTAATGTCATTGCTTAAAGTGTTAATGTTATCGTGCATCTCGTCTATTTTCTTGTTGTTGGACTCAATAGTCGTATTACACTCGTCAATTGTCATTTTATGTTGCTCTTCTTGTTGTTGTTGGTATTGCTTTTCATTAAATAGTTCTTGTTCCAGTTTTTTAATGTTTAATTCCATTTCAGAGATTAATTGAACTTTTTCTAGTAACGATGTTTCGAGTTGACCCATTTTAATATTTGACTTTTCAATTTCGTCACATAATTTAATTTTTTCATCATTGCCTGATTGGACAGATTCTCTTAATGATGCAATTTCATTTAATAGTTTATTTGTATTTAAATCGGTTGATGATTCTAAATCTGTAATTTGTTGTTTTTGAATATCGATTTTATCTTTTAATTTTGATAATTGGTCTTGTAAACTATAATTTAATTGAGATTGTTCATCTTTTTCTTGAATCAGTTGTTTCTTTTCGGATTGAAGCTCTTCAACAGTCTTTTCAAAGAGGGATATTGAGGTTTTGAATTCTCTAATGGAATCATCACGCTCTACAATATGGTCTCTTAATTCGTCTAGTTGTTTTTTATAGTGTGTAATGGTGTCGTTGGTATTGTCATTGACAGATTTTATACTTTCTAATTCTAATTTAAGTGATTGGCATTTGTATCTTTCTTCATCTAAGAGGTGTTCCAATTCCTTTTGGTGGATAGATTGCTGTTCACTAATTTTTTTAACTTTATCGATGGATTCTTCTAATTGGGCAACAAAATTTGTCGATTCGTTGTAAAGGCTAACAGAGACCTCTAATTCATCTTTGAATCTTTTGATTTGAGATGATTTATTTTCATTATCTTGCTTTAATTCATAAATGATTGATTTAGATTCATCTAGCTTTTCATAGACACTGTTTATTTCTTTGTTGTTTTTATTGATGGTTTCATTGAGTGTTTCAATTTCGTTTGATTTCATTTCGACATCACCCATTAAATCTTGGTATTGGTTTTGTTTTTTATTAAATTGTTCTTCAAGTAACTGATAGTTTGATTTGATTTCTTCAAGAGTGCTATTAAGATGACTGATTTCTCTACTCTTTTTATCTAGTGATTCATTAGCATGATCAATATCGGTACTCTTCATTTCCATGTCACCCATTAAATCTTGATATGAACGCTCTCTAGCTGCAAGTTGTTCTTCAAGTAATTGATAGTTTGATTTGATTTCTTGAATTTTTTCGTCAAGGTTACCAATTTCTTTTTTATTTTTGTCAATGGTTTCATGGAGCGATATGGTTTCATTACATTTCATTTCATAGTCACTTTTTAATTCTTGGTGTGAGCTTTCAGTGGCACATAATTGGTTCTCTAATGTTGTATACTTTGATTTCATATCTTCAAGTTTTTCACTAATGCAGTTAACTTCATTAATTTTCTTTTCTACAGTTTCTTGAAGTGATTGTATTTCATTTGACTTCATTTCAACATCAGCTGTTAAATCTTGGATTGAGTCGACCTTTTGGTTAAATTTGCTTTCTAATAAAGTATAGGTTGACTTTATTTCATCTAATCTTTCTTGCAAATTACTAACTAGGTGGTTGTTATTAACTTGACTTTGCTCTAATTCATTTAATTTTTCATTAAGATTTGAAATTTGGAATTGCTTTTCGTCGATAGTATCTAAATGTTGTTTAATTGAAAGCTGGTTCTGCTCCAATGCCATTTTAAAGCTAGCTAATTTATCTTCTAATTGCTGAATAAATATATTCTTTTTTTCAATGATGTCATCCTTCTCTGGTATTTGAACAGTTTCAATGGAACTAATTTCTTGTTTTAACTTTTCGATTTCATCCAATAATAATTCATTTTTACCAGTAGTTTCTTTAATTGTTTGTTTTAATTGGTCAATCGATTCTGATTTCTCTTTAATTGATAACAAAAGTTTATCATTCTTTTCCGTGATTTCATTATTTTGTGCAGTAATTTGATCAATTTGAATTGTGTAGTCGTTAACCATACATTTTAAAGTATCTTTTTCCTTATTGCCATCTTCAATATTTTTGTTTAATTCTTGAATACGATTATCGAATTTTTGGGCCATTTGGTGTTTTTCATTTCTAATCTCTTCCATTTGCTGATCTTTTAAGGACAAGTCGGATTCGTGAGTTGATTTCAAGTTTTCGATAATTGTATAAACTGATTCTAATTCGTTTTGGGTTGATTTTAATTTATCTGAAAGATTTTGAATGTTTAATTGAGTGTTTTCTAATTTTAAAAGTAATTGATCTTGGGTTTCATTTTGCTTGGTAATGACTCCATTGGATTCGCAGAGTTGGCCATTTAATGAATCAATATCATTTAATAATTGCTCGATCTTGACTTTTTGTTGTTCGATTTCGTTGGATTTATCAGTGAGACAACTTGATTGATTTTCAATTTTCAATTCAGACTCTTGAATTTGTTGTTTTAATTCTTGTATTTCACTATCGAGCTTGGAACGGCATTGGTCAAATTCTTCAACTGTCTTATTTAATTCATTGATGAGTTTGTTGTTATCTAATTTGGATCTGGCCATATCATCAAGCAATGCAGAGTAGTTTTGAGACTTTGTATCGAGTGTGGATCTGAGAGATTCGATTTCGATTAAATCTTTTTCAAGCTGTTCTTTCATTTCCAGCTTTTCCATATTGAATTTATCCATCAACACCTCTAAATTTGCCTGTTCGTGTTTAAGCTTCATAGAAAGATCTTGATTTAAATCAGTCATATTCTTTACATTGTCTTGATATTTTTCAATAAGTTGTTGATAACGGTCCTTGTCTTCTTCAGCGGTAGATTGTAAATCAGATACCTCCAATTGTAAATCCATAATAAGAATTTCAGACTCTTTTTGCTTTTCAATTTCTTTTGATAACTTATCTCTGACCTCTTTTAAGTTTTCTTCTAGTTTGTTAATTATCGAAAGTGATGTGGAGATCTCTTCTTTTTGTAACGATATTATATCTCTATTCTTTTCTTCCTCAATTAATAAACCTTCTAACCTTTTAATTTCACCTTCGGACTCTTTTTGCTTTCTCTTGAAATCTTCAAGTAAAGAATCTTTATTTTCAATTCGAATTTTCAATTTAGATTCATTTTCTTTAAATTGATTTAATTCCTCAGTAACCGTTTCGTTTTCATTTTCTAATTTTTCAATTTCTTTATTTAAATTTAATAAATTTGATTTTAATTCTTTAATTGAATGCTATTTGTAAAAAAAAATTGTGTAAACATTTAAACTATTTTTTATATTTATAAAATAATTATTATAGGAATACTTACTTCTAATGATGATATTTTATCATTTAAATTTAAACTGGTTAATTTTAATGAGTCCTTTTCTTTTTCGAGCTGATTGCTTTGATTTGTCATTTGTTCAAATTTCTGACTGGTTAGTTTTTCTAATTCTATTAACTCTTTTTGATATTTTTTTTCTAAATTTGCTTTATCCGCTTTTAATTGGTCAATTTGTTCTATATACTTTTGAGATGTTGTTTTGGTGGACTTTAGTGTTTCTTCCACTTTTTTTAATTGTTGTAAATTGTTATTGTATTTTTCTTCTATTGTTTTTAACTGTGAATATTAAAAAAAATATTAATATTTTTTTATTTTTTATTATTTTATAATAAAATTACTTACATCATTTATAATTCTAGTTTTTTCATTTTTTAACTCATTTGAATTTTTGATATGATTTTTAATTAAATCCTCTTGATTTTCTATTTGTTTAATCTTTTGTTTAACTTTATTCTTTAAATCATTATTTTCATCTTCGAGATGTTTAATTTTTTCTGAATCTTTTTCTCTATTCATTTCTTTATTATTGTATATATATGTATTTAGATTTATATTATTTTTTTTTATTTACATGTAAAATTATTTATATTATTTATGTTTATTTTATAAAAAAAATAAAAAATTATAAACAAAAAAAAAAAAAAATGAATTTAAAATTTGAATTTTTTTTTTTTTAGGCGTTAAATTTTTGGAGGGTTTTTTTTTTAAATTTTTCAAATAATTTTATACAAATATAATTAATTATTTTTGTATTTATTTAAAGAAAATTATAATTAAAAAGAAAAAATTATTGAAAAATATAAAAAAGGAAATTTTAACCAAAAAAAAAAAAAAAAAAAGATCTCTATTTTAAATATCAAAATTCAATTGTTCACTTTTTGGAAAAGAGTGGATATATCAAGTTTTTTTATACCAATCAAACATCTCAAATATTAATAAAAAATTGTGAATGTTAAACTTATTATCAAATAAGATATTTTTTTTTTTTAATATTTTATCCATAATAAAAAATAATAGTATAGTTTTTATAAAATCAATAAATAAATACAATTGTTTTTTATTTATTGATTTTATAAAAACTATAACCCAAGAAATATTAGAAATCAAAATACCTTTGATAAAATGATAATATTTGCAATGGCATACTTAAAACCTATATTTGATGATGTAGTTGATATTGATATTGGTAATATAATTTCTTTATTTTTTAAAAAAATAATTATTTTATTAAAAACAACTTTTTTAAAATTTTATCATAATTGTAAAATTGAAAATATGATTGGGTTATTACAAATGAAAGAAAAATACACTCCAAAATTAAAATTAAAATTAATTAAAAAAAAAAAAAAATTTTAAATTTTAAAAAAAAAAATTTTTATTTTTTTTTTTTTTGAAAATTTATAATTTTTAAAAAAAAATTATTTTTTATATTTTTATTTCAAAGATAATATCAAACGATATTAATATAAATCATATTATATATTGTATAAAATATTAAATAATTATATATTGTATAAAATATGGCATCAACACCAAATAGACCTGCATATTTAAAACAATCTTCAAAACTGTTGTTTGAAGATTTAAAAAAAAATAGAGAAGATATCGATGAATTGGGTGATTTAGATATTACAACAATTTTAGGTTGTGACTTTGATGATGATTCAATCTCAGCAGCGGGTATGTACAATATATAAATATATTTATTTATATATTACACCAGTATGAGTAAATCATTTATTAATTTATAAATTTATTTAATTATTACAGATCAAGAGTTAATTAAAGATGCATTGGTAAAAGGATATGATTTAAGACAATACTCAAAAGAAGTAGAAGATAATTTAAACCAAACAGATAAGCTTACTATTAATGATTGTAAGATTAAATACAATGAAATAAAAAAATAAAAAAATAAAAAGCATAATATTAAAATTAATATCTTTTTTTTTTTTTAGATTTTCAAGAAAGAGAAAACTTTTTAACTTTATACACACAAATTCAAGTTGTAGATGGTGTTTTAGAAACTTTAGAAGTAATGTTAAATAATTACTATAATGATTTAAAGAGTATTGGTTCAGAAATGAACTCACTTCAAGAAAGATCAATGTCAATGAATCATAAACTAAACAATAGAAAACAATTAGACGAAAAATTATCAAAATTTATAGATGCAATTACAATTGACCCAGAATTTTTCAAGTAAATATTTAAAATATTAGATTTTAATTTTTGGAAAATATAATATACTAATAATATATTTTTATAGTGATTTAACAAATTCTAGAACTGAAATAAATGAACAATACATTCAAAACTTAATGAAATTAGACACAAAAATTACATTATTCGACGATTATAAATTAATTTCACCAACTATTTGTGCAAATAATGAACCACAACTAAGTAAATTAACAGTAGCATCAATTCAAAAGATTCAAAAATTCTTATCAGTTACATTAAATTCAAACTTTAAAAAACTTCTAGAAAAAAGACAAAAACAAAAACAACTTGCAAAAATGGGTTATTTATTTCAATTTCTTTTCAAATACTCACAATACATTGCAAATGAAGTTATTATGTCCTATGTAGAGAACAATGAAAAATATTTTACATCTTTTTATAAATCATACATCAATGCATTATTAAAACTTTTAGATGACACCTCCTCACCAAGCAAAAGCGATTTAATTGGTGTTGGAACAAGTAAGCTAAAAAACTTCTTCTCATCATCAAACACCACACCAAATAAAAACACTGCCCAACAACAATCTCAACACAAACAACTACATACAACACTTTCATTAGGTAATAGAGCTGAACTATTATCAAGTGAAGTTTTAGAACTACCACCAATAGAACCACCATCCTCAATTTCGTTTTTAGAAGCTTTAGAACTATCAACCTCAAGTGCTCCACAAATTCCATCTGTTAAATATTCATTTGACCAACTATATAGATCAATGCTTTACTTTTTAATGGATATCCTTAGCTCTGAAACCCTATTTGTTAAAGATTTCTTTTTGGGTGGCGAAGATATTATCGTTACTATTTTCAACCGTTCTGCTGCCTATTTAATCGAGACTGTAGAAAACCATTTAAACAATAGCTATGATGTAGTCGGTATTTTACTTATGCTTTCTACAACTTTCCGTTACAGGGCAATTATGAATGAACAACGTGGTATTGCTGCCCTTAATCAACCAATTGACAAATTATTAAATTTAATCAACAGTAGATTTGTAAAGCTTTTCGTTACTTTATCGGATTCGATCAAAAATACCACAATCAAAGATTTAAAAGCTGGCCTATCGTCAACACAACCACATGTCTTTATTAGAAAATATGCAGACTTTATAGCAACTCTTCAATTAATTTCTTCAAGCATACCAATTGAAAATCAAAATACAATTATTAAAGCAATTAATGAACTTAAAGATGGCACAGAGAAACTCTTAAGCAAATTAGTACAAGAGATTGAATCAAAAGATGATCAAGTTGTATTTTTAGTCAATAACTATGGTATTGTGGTTCAAACCATTTTAGAATCTTCAAACTATTTATCTGGTGGTGCCTCATCTCCAAGCAATAATACCGCTAGTGCAAATGATATATCAAATAATAATAATATTAAACCTTTCTATCAAAACCTCCAAAAAGTTGCCAAGAAATACATTGATATTCAATTAAACAGTTTGAAATATTTAACTCAATTTATTTCTTTCTCTTGGGAATGGGGTCCACTTGTCGAATCAAATGTTAAAATTAGTCTCACTGAAAACCCATCTTTCAATCAAGCCAATGCCCAAAAGATTCTTGCTTCATTCGAACACAACTGGAGATCTGCTGTTGCTGCTATACGTAACTCCTCAATTAACACCCATCTTTCTCAATGTAGTTTTGCTCAAAATCAAGTTTTCGATTTAGTTTTAACGGAACTCTATAGCTGCTATCGTATGTTGGTCATAATAATAGATAAATACTTTGAAAAACTTAAGGATGATTCAAACTTTAAGGGTGATAAAGTAGTGGACGAAATGAAAGAAATGAACTCAAATTTAAATTTAAAGTATATCCATGAAGAATAAAAAATTTAAACAATTTTAAACCTAATTATTTATTATTTTTTTCTAAATCTCTCTTTTCTATTCCCAATATTCCTTTTTTATATTCGAGTTCTTTGTTTTGTGTCTCTATTATTATTGTTTCTATAAGAACCTCCCTCGTTTCCAAATAAACTTCTTTTTTTTTGTTAAAATAATCTTTTGTTTTATCTTTTATTGTTTCTATTAACCTTGGATCTATTTTCGAAATCTTCTTGTCTGATGGTGGTTGATTATTTAAATATCCCAACTCGATTTTTAATAATTTTATCTTTTTTTTTGTTTCGTCTATATCTCTTTTAAGTTTGCCCATTTCTCCACCATTAACTATATAAAATTTTTCCTCTTCCTTCTTTTCTAATGAGGTATTTTTATTTTTTTCTAAAATTAAATTGCCAATACTTGTAAACCCTTCAATGGATTTTAAACATTTTATTTCTGATTCAATATAATCTTTATCTAAAATATTTTCATTAAAGTCATCATTGAGTGGCTCAAATTCCAAACCAAATGCCTCCTCCATAGCTTTAAACCTAATTGTGAAAGTATTAATATATATACGTTTATCTTTTAATATAATAATATTTACAAATTATTTTTTTCATCAATATCACCAAAACCAAATTTTTTTATTTTAAATTCTTCAATTTTGGTATAATACCCATTTTTTGTTAAAGCTTCTTGATAATTTTTCATTTCTGAATTGAAATTATCTAATAAATCCTTTGAAGATTTATCTTTACCTGCCAATGAAATTTTTTTTTCACACCTTTCCAAATAATCATTTGAGTATGAATATGTTCCTGACTCATTTAACTGTTTTAGTAAAATTTCAAAATTATAATTGATCTCCCCCAAAATGTCTTTTAAATTTTCGTTTAGATAATCCTCTTCAGAGATTTCTGTTGGTAAAATGTAAACTGAACTCTAAATATGACAAAGAAAATAATTAATAATTAAAACTTTATATATAAAAACCAATAATACTTACAATCGAATAATATGGAAATAAATAACTATTATATGAATTATCAGAATATTGAAAAATATGAGGAGTTGAGAGATATCTTATATAGATATTTGAATAAGTAAAATCTTTGATTTTATTTGTGATATCTTTAACCTCAATAAATTGATGACTATTGTCGCCAAGTAAAAAATTATAAAAATGAATTTTTCTTTTTTGAATAAAATTAGATTTAAAAACTTCAGAAAGGGTTACACCTTTATGCTCCAACAAATCTGCTATTTCTTTAACCTCTACATTTCCTTTTTCTACTGTAAAACCTTTTTCTTCTAATAACTCAACATCGCTAAAAGCTGAACATAGAAAATAAGTTTCAGCTAAATGCAAATGATGTAACTTGTCCTCTAATAAATCATAAAATTTTGTTCCTCTGGCCCTATCTGGATATAATTTGCTTTCTGATAAAGTTCCACTTGATGATAATTCGAAATCAATGACTAAAAAATAAAATCAGTAATTATTATTAGGGTTTTTTTTTTTTTTTTTTTTTTTTATAATTACCCTTTAAATATGGCATTTGATCTAAAAAAATGGACGGGAAAAGAATTGTATTTCCAGGCTTAACATCTCTTTGAAATCTTTTAACAAAGTGCCCAAAACTTAAAAACACAACATATTGACAAAAAATTGATTTTAAAAGATGATTTGAATCATCACCTGGTTGAATATTTTTATAAGATTTCAAAAACGATTTATTAATTTCCGATCCCCTTTCTAATAAAATAATGTTTCTATCATTTTTTTTTGACTATTAATCAAATTAGTATTGTTTAAACATAGTATAAATGGTAGTATTACTTACTGAATTTAATAATAATACTATATTTGGGTGATATGAATATTCTTTTAAAGCTTTTACCTCCTCATCTCCTCTATTTTCCTTATTTTCCTTATTTTCCCTAGTTATATATTTAATTACAACAGGTTTATTATCTATTTTTCTAGTCCCAAACACCACAATATTTTCTCTTTTAATATTAAAAACTTTATTTATTATGATTTCTTCATCTCCAAACTTTAGAATTTTAATTTTGTCGTCTTCTAATTTTAGAAGATTGAAATCTTGAATATCTTCAAAACAATCCATTAGCTATTCCCTATATTTTTTTTATGAAAAAAATGTATAAAAATAATAAAAATAAATTTTTAAAAAATATAAATTTAAAAAAAAAAAAAAATTCTAAAATCTTGGTAAAAAAAAATAATTTTTAAGTTTTTAAAAATTTTAAGTTTTGTATAAAATTGTTTATTATTTGTTTTTATTAAAAAAAAAAAAAAGGATCATTTTTTTTGTTTATTTTTTTTAAAATTTATTTTTTGTTTATTTATTTATAAGAATTATTAAAATTAATTAAATTCAAGTTGAAATAGATTTACAATTTTTTTTTTTTTGATTTTTAATATACCAACAGAGAAATAGGACAACCAAAAAGACCAGTACTATACAAATGATGGGTATATTATTATTGTTATTATTGTTATTATTATTATTTATTATTTATTATTTATTTATTATTTAATATTAATACTAAATTAATTTTACTCTAACATTGTTGGTATTCTAGTATCCATTAAAAATGAAGTTGACGAACTATTACTATTTAAACTATTTGGGGTACTATCTGTATCTTTGGCTTGCTCTACTACAAAAGCTCTCTTTACTTCCCATTTATCCTCGAAATAATCATCACTATTTATTATGGCTTGTCTATTTTCTATATTTTCCCACCTGTATTGCTTGTTGTGTTCGTTGAAAACAAAATATTTATATTGAACAAAGCATGATTCAGTAGCAAAACCAATATTAACATCCCAAATATTTCCAATATTCCATGTCATTCTCTTTGCCTTCAATGGATCCCATTCACCTAATTGTGGGTGTGATCCGACAATATATACATTTTCTCCAGGTTGGGTATTATAAACCATTGTGAAAGTAACATTATTACCACAGAGTAATGAGGAAGATGAACATCTAAACATTTTGATTTTTAATTTCTGTAATAAACAATTAATATTTATAATATACAATTTTGTAGTTATTGTTGATGTTGTAAAATACAAAAAAAAAAAGAAAAAAAAAAAAACTATAAATAATAAATTGTTATTTAAAAAAAAATTTTAAAATAAAAATTATTTTAAAAACCATTAAAAGAAAGATAAATGATCTGAAGATACATTAAACATTATAATAAAATTAAAGAAAAAAAAAATTATTTATAATAATTATCTATTTTAAACTACAACAAAATGATATTTGCATATTTACCTTTGAAAACAACAAGATGCAAAAAAATGTGAGTTTTATTTATAATAGTTGTGCAGATATGATATATTAACTTGAAAACTAAATGAAATATATGAAATTTTGAAAAAAAATAAAAAAAAACGATGGGAAATTTAAATTTTTTTTTTTATAAATTATAGAAAATAAAATAGTAATTAAAAAACTACAAATAATTATTTGTAAAATAAACAATACAAATGAATACTTGAAAAATTAAATAAAACAACTAATGTAATTATATTAATATTTTATACAATTAATATAATTAAATAAATTAACAATAACAATAAAATAAATAATTTACAAACACTTTTGATATATAAATTTATTAATTAAAAAAATTAATTTAAAAAAAAAAAAAAAATTATTTAAAATTATATAATTCAATTTTGAAATTGAACCACTAACACCACACACAAAATATATATAAATTTAGAATAACTTTAAAAAATAATACTTAAACACACACCTTTAAAAAAAAAATAACACACACTTTTTATATTAAAAAAAAAAACTGTAAAAAAAAAAAACACACCCAAACCCACTAATACTATATGTATTTGAAAGATATAAACACAGAAGAAAAAATAAACTATAAATATATTATAAAACACATAATAATAATAATATGATATAAATGAAAAAAAAATATAAAAAAATATAAAAAAAAAATATAAAAAAAAAATATAAAAAAAATTTTGTAAATTGGACTATAATAAAATTAATTGATATGATTCAAAAATTTTAAATGATATTATTGAATAACATGAGAGGTATTTTTTAAAAAGGGAATTATTTTGGGGATTTATCTGTGGATTTATCTGGGTGGAGGTGTGGGAATCATATAAAAAAAAAAACTTTTAAAAATAGATAACTTTTAATAAAATACAGATTAAATTAAAGTAAAAACAAAAAGATAAATATTTACTTTTTTATTTATTATGATTTTAATATTATTTAATTTGATAATTTGATTTTATAATTTTGGTTTATATATTTATAAATTTTTTATTTTTATTAAAACAATAGATAGATTTATTATATT